TTTATTTCCCAATTAAACACAGCCAACACTGAAAACAGAAAGAATTATACACTTCAATCCTATGCTTTTCCATTTTTATAGACTTTAGAAAGATGAAACCTGTCCTTTCTTAAGTCTTTCCTAAAGAGAAAAGAAACTAAAAATTCAGATTTCAAATTCTCCTTCTCTTTGTTACCTCAGCAAGCAAGCATGACGCAAAAACCTATCTTTTTCACTAGAGCTTCTACCAAACATCAATTTAGTAACATAAAGTGCAATAGCAATTTGAAATTCATAATGAAACTAATATGATTAAATGAAATTTTTACAAAATAATATAACTTACTTCAACTTCTAACACAGAAATTTGTATCAAATCTGATATTGTTTTTTTGATAAAAGGCATAGTCTCTGAAGTTTCTTCAACCAGCTCGAATTTTCTAGTAAGTAATTGAGGTTGAATATTGAAACTACCAAACCTGACACAAAAACAGTATCTAATTAAATAAACAATCTGTCCAGATATTAAAGAACTTAAGAAATGGTAGAAATCTTATATATATGGAAGAATTTAAAAAACCTGTCTAGATATTGTTTCACTTCAGGGATGTCAAGATTAACATAGATCATTGTTGGAGACATGCTAGCTCCATGAATTTCTCCTTGCAAATCACATTTAAATTAGTCAACAAATGTAAAATAAAATTCTTTAATATAAAATTTTATAAAATGAGTTATACCATCAAATTGTTTGGTAGCTAAAGAGGTAATGATAACAATTTGTGTTGAATCCTTTTCCCAAAGTTTTAACTCTCGTATTTGCTGCTTTGCTTTTCCCCATAGACTAATAGAAAATTCTGCTTCTCTACAAAATAATAATAATGCATTAATTTTTAATCAACACAACCCCACCCCATAGACCTCATAAAACTCTGCTCCCCTGCAAAATTTCAACTAAATAACAAAAAAAAAATGTTACCCAAATCACAGATAAATTCAAACTTTTATCAATTACATAACCAACAAAATTAAATTTCATATAATAAACTAACATTAAAAAAATAAGTAAATACTATCAAAAACATAATTGAAAGTCCATTAGTATTATTATCACTTACTCAAAATCCATCAACCAAATTTTACATGGTAACTTTGATCCTCGCGCACTGTAGCCTACCTCTATATCATCAATTTTGGTTAAAACACCAATTAGATTTACATAAAACACAATATAACAATCTCATTCAGTCAAAACTAATTATATGAAGTAAGTATGAAAACTTTTATGAAAATCTTAATATAAAATAAAAAAAAATTAATAAAAACCCAAAATACCTGTTAAATATGTTAGTTGATGCAGTCTTTCTTTGCACTCTTGAAAGGACTTGAATTCAAATTTATGAGGTAATATAGAAGCAACATTTTCACTCTCAAGAAGGAATTTAGTAGCAGCATTAACCCGTATTCTAATATTAGATGAAACAGGCCTATAATTTAAAGACTGCACACATCCGAAATTTGTGATAGTATAAATTTGACCTTCTTTCAAATTTTTTCTATGAATTTGGGCACACTTTCTTTCCATAACAATATGGATAACATCACCCTACAGAATTAGATTTGCAATGATATCAAAACTACAATTTAAATAAAAAAATTGAAACCTAAACAGATAATAAAAATCGAAAACTTTCCTCACCTTCTCATCTATTGCCATAGCATCAAGACCCAAATCTTTCTCATCCTTAGCATCAGTACCTGCATTCCAAATTCGACTTAATCAAATACGTATTCTAGTTCCAGATTTATTCTTGACTAAAGTGCTGATATACTCTCTTCCTTTTTCCATTTCAATTGTTCGAAAGCAAACACAATTCTAAACAGAAACTGGATGAAATAAAGGCGCATGTAATGGGTAGTTTTCTGCAGTTGAAAAGTAATATGAAGCAAACGCATAATACTGAAATTTAGGAACAGTTCAGGAAAAATGGCAGAGCGGGAAATGGCGATCATGATGATAATATGAAGGAAACGCAGTAAATTGAAGATTTTTAAGTCGTTTTGGGACGTCGGGTTTTTCTCAGTCATTTTGGTGAAATGGACTATATTTAAAGTCGTTTTGGGCTATCTTAGCCCATTTACCCTGCGTTGGAAGCCCATTTCACCATCGTTTTGCTTCTGTGAAACTGCTTTTATACTCTTTACCCTTTTTCATTTCTGTTTAACAAAAGCAAGAGTAATTTTTTTTTTTTTTGTTTGTAAAAATTTAGCCAAAAAGAAGGAAAAGAAATTCTTTCTGCAGATATGTAAATAGAAAAAGAAGATGAAAACAATTGAGAACCAACCCAACAAATACTCATCTTTGAAATAGCTAGCAATTCCAGTAAATACTCATCTTTGAGAACCAACCCGGTGTTCACCAAGCAAACTCCAACGTATAATCCATCACATATAAGCAAGCTTCCCAAGATTCCTAATGGTAAATGACGTTGAAATTATCAAAATCAAAACAGAAAAAAAGAAAGAATTATTAACTCCCATCACAGAAAAATAGTCGAGATCAGAAAATAAACCTTGAAAAAGACAAAATAGCATCCATTTGATCTGAACTGAAAATAAAATACCTGAGGCTTCCTTGATTCTTCAGCTGAATTAGCAACGGCATCAAATCCAACATATGCAAAGAATACCGCAGCGGCGCCTCTGAATA